TTTTGCTTTTCATGATTCCATCAAGCGTAGAACTACTTGTGCAGATTCACATGATACCTCCATCCACTTTTATAAAGCGTATTTTTTATCTAAAGTATAAGGTTTGACCAACAAATATCTCAAATTATATGCCTGTCTAGTGTACAGAAGTTATTATATCTATATATTCATATTCATATTTTAAAATGCTTCTGATATGGTTTTGATCCTATAGCAATTAACCTATAATATAAGAGAATTTAAAGGTTAAAGTTACTTCTAAAACTATACCAAAATATGCCTTCATTACTCTTTGGATGGATTACTGTCGCATTGCTTCCTGCCACAGGGCTACCTGAACACTTGGATCAATTTCAGTGGCAGGACAGATTTATTCTGATTATAATTTTATTGGAATTTTGGCAGGACCTTCTGAGGCGAGACATCAGCAGGCAGCATGGTGGTTTCTCATTAGTTTTAGTACTGGTGGTTGCTATTCTGGGAATACTGCTAGGGTTCCTCATGAAGAGATGAGTGCATGTAATGATTTATCTTGTTTGGCCTTTTCTGAACTAAAGAAAATTGTATTGCTCTCTGTGTGGTTGCTGTTGTACAACTCAGTGGTCTGTTTATCATAGGATCTGATGCCTATTGTAATTTTCTTATTCATATTATAAACTTTAGCCAATCAATGTCATAGTTACCAACACCAGCTGTTATCAGCTTGCAAGCGACTTCAGGTCTTGAGGTGTAGCCTTTTGGTTTTTGAAGGATTTTGACTAATTGTTGGCATCCTTTTGCACATGTAAACAGAATGGTTTCTTTGAAACTGTGGTTTATGATATATATATTCTTTGTGAATTGCGTGAAGTGTTTTATTCATTGTTAAGAGAGATCAAAGTACCAAACTCATATTTAGGGTTCTGCTACAGGTTGGATAGCAATGAAGAAAACAAAAGGTGGACATTTTGGGGTACTCATGATACTTGATTGACGGCCTCCTTTCAGTAACTATTCAGCCTTTCAGCTTACATTTAACAAAGCGTTGAAATGGCCATGCTAATACAATCTGAATTATAAGACATTCTGGGTACTCATGGTACTTGATCGATCACCTCCTTTCAGTAACTATTCAGCCTATTAGCTTCCATTTAACAAAGCGTTAGAATGTCCATGCTAATACAATCTGAATTATAACACAAAATTCCAGATCTTTTTGTTCTTATATGCCTTTTGAGACCACAAGTACGAAAAAGGTAGTACCCCATAAAGTGATAGGATAGGAGTATCTGATAACCGTGTATCTATGTTGCACACTGAGGTATCCCTAACTCCTAGAATATGGTATACTAAGGGTCTTTTTGGTTCAGCCGTGAGCTGTAGAAAAATTGTTGTACACTATATGCTGTGAAGAAAACTATAGCTGTTTGGTTGAAAAAACTATAAAACTCATCTCTCTCTTTATCTCCATTGGAACAACTATAAAACATATCTCTATTTCTACCTATTTGGAAAAGTTGAAAGACAAAAGTAAGGTTTAAGACGATGCGAAAATTATACTGTGCGAAAGTAGATGCTTTTGGAACAGCAGCTTTAGGTTCCACCCGTTTGGTTGGCTTTCAGTTTTTAGCGGCAAAAGCACTTTTTAGAAGCTGAACCAAACACAATCTAACTTCAGGAACACGAGAGCTCCTACCCGGCCTCCTCAGACTCCCGGTGTCCACGACTTCACGTTATCACATAGTACACGTCAAACTTGATCAATAAGCCCGCACCTCAACCTCGACGCCCTCAACGACTAGCTACTACTGGTGGCTCCGCGGCGTCCAAAGGACACAAGAGCATGAATGAACAAATGTTGCACATACCTTGTTCGGTGAGTTGCCATAGGTTCACTGAAGTCTTCATGCCTGCTTGATGCAGATAAGATCTAGACAAGTAGAGCTTATAGGAGTGCCTTCCCAGTGCTTTAGCAACTGCATGATTAGTGGCTACAACTTCGGATGGACTGAGAGATCCTAGAGAGGGCCTCTCCTTTTATACCGTGCTGCACTGGAGACATTGTAGGTGTGTTCATACAATCAGTATAGCTTCTTCACCCCCTTTCTGTCGCCGTGGTCATCCATCATCCATCGAGTTCAATCCCTTCACCATCTCCATCATCATTACCGTCCGCTGTCGTTTAGAGGTCAAGTACGACGATCTTGGCGATAGAAAGGCCATTGACTTGCAGCTGCATGAGGCCCATGAGCGTCTTGAGCATGTGGTTAGTTGAAGGTGTACCAGTTGACTAGTTGTTGCCCGAGATGCACTGCACCCACACCGCTGTCAGTAGCCTAAGCGTTTTGATGCGCTGCACCCACAACACGAGAAGGAGAAACGGGAGGACCAAGGAAAAAACTTTGATGGCCCTTGGGTTTTGAATTTTTAGAAGTGAGTTATTAAAAACAGTTGGAGATGACAATTGATCTGATCCTTACTCTTTCTTAGAATTGAAATAATCATAGATTTGACAAGTGATCTATTAGAAACCATTGGAGATGCTCTTAGGATCACTCATGTGCTGTGTTTGGGGCTCCAAGCTAGCACCGAATTGAATGACTGACTTCCTCAATAGCGAGTTGTTTTTTACTCACTCAATCCTCTCCTTGTCATTCCCATCTAGCGACATAGATTAGTGTTGGAAAAGCCTTCGTGTAGACACGTGAATCCGGCTATATGCCAATGGTATGGTAAGTACAAACTTTGAGAAAGTTCTGGTGTTAACTAAGGTTTGTTTGAATCTCCTAGTCCTAGAGATTATTGGAATCTAGATTCTAGATAGTGATTCAGGATATTATTATATGGATAAAAAAAATAAGGTCTATTTGGATCTTTGGATTCTAGACACATATTATATAGGTGGTCGAATATGTTTAACACCCATTATCTCCAAATAATAGGATAGAGGTGGATAGTCGGATTCTCAAGATCTGTTGGTTTGATTATATGAATCTCTCTTTAGGTTTTATCCCTTTGGATTACATCTCATTGTTTCATCTCATTTTTCATAATTCTTAGTCGATCCAATTATGACCTAAATAGAGACATGAGTATATCGAGCGAGAGGGACTCTGCCAAGACAAGGGCCATCCAAACAAAGAAGCGAGGCAACAACATGTCCAACGCGTGAGAGAAAAAACATAAGAGAAACAAGATAATTAAGCCATTTCTGGTGGAGCTTCTATGGTTTCAGTTTCACCCAACAAAGTCACTGTTACGGCATCAGCACTGTATGACACTGCACCAATGAGCTCTTCTTCTCTTTCCCTTCTAAATAAACTACCAACAAAGAGAAACCAATGAAGCTAGTTTGGAATGGCTTCACCAGCTCGTGCTATAGTAACACTATATTATGCTACGGTACAAAATCTAAAACCAAGATAAGCTCTGCCCAAGAGGCTCTTAGAGTTGTTGGTCGCGAATCAAGTAACCAAAGACTATCATAATGTGGCCTAGGACAATGTATATCAAACTTTAAAAGGAAAAATGGCTAACTTCTTATATTTGTAAAAAAACATTTGAGACGCAGGCTTAACAACGGATAAAACAATGATAATGTTACATGTTACATGACATGTCGGAATCTTAAAAAAATTGGACGCTCTGTTTCGCGCTCGTTCTAGCACAGCGATCGACCCAACAGGTCCATCTACGCTCTCTCATTTATCTACTCCATATACACTGCGACAGTTGACAGATTTCCCTAACTCCTCGCTTTGCTCGTCGCGGCTCACCGCGCCGTCCGCCCGCTTCTAAGCAGCTTCAGCGGCGCGCCCCATCCCGCATCGAGTCGCACCACGTCGCCGCCGCCACCATTGCCGCCGCCCCACTCCGCCTCGCCACGCCGCGCCCCGGTCCCCGCCCTATCGCGCTTATGCCCCGTCCCTCGCCACGAGAGTGTCACGACGTTCCCCACCAGGAGGTCGTGGCCGTTGTCGACGCCGGCGCTGCCGCGACGCTCGACCTCAGCTCACGACATCACGAGATCCGGAGTGGCCGGACCTGGAGCGGGCTTCTCCAGCTGCTCCTCGCACTCCTTTCCTTCCTCGGATGTTGCAAGCACGTGTTGCGAGCATATGTTTCAAGTGTTTCAGGTGTTTTATGTGCATGTTGCAAGTGTTTCATGTCGATGTTTCAAAAGTAGATCGGGATGTTGCATATGTTGCAATGGCTATACACGTATGTTGCAAGCGTCTGTTCCAAATGTTTCAGCTGTTCACGGATGTTGCACGTGTTTTATCTGGTGTTGCATACGTTTCACATTTATGTTGCAATTGTTTTATTTAAGTGTTGCATATGTTTTATACTTGCAAGTGTTTCATCCGGATGTTGCATATGTTTTCAACACATGTTTCTTTTGTGTTTCAGACGTAAATATTTTAATTGTTTTAGACATATGTTACAAATATTTCCTCTAAATAAAAATTAGATCTGATGGCACGTTGCAGTGGATCCAGCAGCTGCTGGACCCAAACGTGAGACCCGGACAGACGTGTGGCATGGGCGTCCGGACGCTGGCTCCTATCCGGACGTCCGGCCGCTACACATAAAACAATCAGCCATATCCTGACACTGGCATCCATCCTGACGGCTCGAGAGCGTCGCTGCCTTTTGCGTTCTTCGGTTCCCCTCTTTTTCTTTCCCCTGTTCGCCTCCGGGCCTCGGCTCTCGCGCGCGCCTCTCTTGCCTTGCTGCCACGACTGGGCGAGCGCCGCCGCCCAGCCAGTTCTTCGCAGGCGACGAGTACCCACCAGGTACTGCCCGACTCTTCTCTCCCCTTCCTGCAGCGCGAAACTGAGTTCCCCAATCCCTGCTATAAGTAATTTGTATTGGATTGAATCTGACCCATTTATATTACAGTCAATAATAGATATAATACGTACTAACTTGAGTTTGTGTATAAAAATTATCGGGTGTATATGTGTACACCCATACCCATGTCTGGTCCGCTCCTGCATTGCTCGCTACTGCACTCAGACATGGGAGAAGGCGGAGAAGAGAAGTCGTTCAATTTCCTTGAAATTTTGCTCGGTGCGTCGGTCTCTCCTACATCTCTCCAGTAGTACTCTATTTTTTTTTTGAAAGATATCTCTCCAGCAGCACTCTCTGCTTCGTTTTGTTGGATGTATCTTCTGAGTGTAGCTCAAACTTGTGGTTGCTCATTGTCACTGGTGTAAGCTAGGAAGGTTCAACTTCCACTACAAAATTGGTTTCACATGCTTCATGCTGGAATTCAACTTTTGCAATGCTGGAAATGAATGTTCAAACATAGAGTCAGTGTTATTGGGCAGTTCCCTATTTAGGTGGCATAATGAGGATTGAGGAGTGTGCTAAATGCAATATGTTAATCTTGCTGGTCTGGGAGTTACTAGGTTACTTTCTGAAAATTTGGTCATGTGGTTATTGTTGGAGGGTTTGTGTGCAAGTTTTTTACCTTTGTTACAAACTTTGCTCATTCCATTAAATAGAATGTGGCTCGGCACTTTTTCCTACTCTTTCCTTCTGATGTAAAATTGGCAATTGTTGTTTTGAAGAATAAAAAGAAAAGTTGCAAACTTGTTCTTATGTATAACCTTTTTTCATTTCAGAGGGAAGCATAGCTGGAGGTACCGCTGGTGTTGTTGTGGAAACAGCATTGTACCCTATTGATACTATAAAAACCAGGCTTCAGGTCAATTTAATTCCCCCCTGCACAATAGCTGTTTTAATAACACGATGTATTGCAAGAATAAGGGAAGTGATGTGTATTGGGTACAAAATTCCTATCTGAATGTGCCTTCAATCCCATTCCCCATTGATGGTCAAATAGTGTTCTGTCTAGTCTATAATTTACTGTTTTACACTTTTAGTTTCCTAGATGAATCCATTTTCTTCTGCTTATGTTTACCGGCATATTAGAGTTGCAACATGTACATGCTATCTTAAGCTTGTGATCTGCGCAGGCTGCTCGTGGTGGAAGCCGAATTGAATGGAAAGGCTTGTATTCTGGATTGGCTGGAAATCTAGCTGGTGTCCTGCCGTGAGTACACGATATCTCTTGGTCATACTTCTTATGTTAGTTAATTGTGCATGATCATGCTTTCCTATAAGCAATTTCAGTGTGCAAGATGTATCCATCATGGTCCAACCTCATCATGTTTTGTATTGAAGAAATAAATATGTAACAATTCATGGTAGGGTGCAATTCTGGTCCTCGTTTCATGTTCATTGGGTAATTTGTTGTTATTTTACCTTTAACTAACTGCCATGAACCTATTAAGAAGTCAGATTCAATAATTTAACTTTCATGAAGACGCCATGAGATGAAATTGCTATGTTTTGTTTCCATTGTGCCATCTTTCCTGTCTATTTGGTTTTCATAGCATAGTCTGTAATTTATGGCAGGGCCTCTGCAATATTCGTCGGAGTGTATGAGCCGACTAAAAGAAAACTACTGGAGACACTTCCTGAAAATTTGAGTGCAGTTGCCCATTTTGTAAGTTAGCACAAACAGAGCTTATTGTTCAACTTTGCTGTTTATACCATGTACTTTCATTTTATACCTGCACACTTTAGCATTTATATCACCAAAGAATATTGTTTGTGTCTTCTCTGTGGATGCTTAATCTCTACTACAGCATATTGATTAATGCGATTTCTACAGACTGCAGGGGCCATTGGTGGTATTGCTGCTTCCCTTGTCCGTGTCCCTACAGAGGTTTGTAATTTTATATTTTCCTACTCCAGATAGTGTTGTGCTGCATCCAAATTAGATCTCATTTCATTCAGGTGGTCAAACAAAGAATGCAAACCGGTCAATTCAAGTCTGCGCCTGATGCTGTTCGTCTCATTGTCGGTAAAGAAGGGTTTAAAGGACTGTATGCTGTACGTATATTCTGGCATCTTATTTGGTCAACAATCTTTTAAGGTGTAATATTGACTTCTATTTGAAAAATGAATTACTGTTATCTGATTTGTAGATTTATTCCCACTCACAATTCTTTCAGTCTTATCCATTATATTGCTTGCTTCTTTTGGTTTATAGGGTTATGGTTCCTTTCTACTTCGAGATCTTCCATTTGATGCCATTCAATTCTGCATTTACGAGCAGCTTCGAATTGGTTACAAACTTGTGGTACTCCTCTTTCATTGCTGAGACTACTATTTTTTCTCCCATCTGTTGAACTACTCATGAATATCCGTGGCTTCAAACCACTTACAGTTCAGAAATATGATTGAGCATTCATTAGTTGCTCCATGTTGTCCTTGGATGACTTTTGTTTGGTAGGGTCAAATTCTGTGCTACGAATCTATGATCAGCATTTTGCTATCGTGTCTAATACATCATGCAGATGTGATTTGGCATGCTACTATTTTCACCAGAATCTGTTCCCGCACGATTTCTTGGACTGAATGACTTGACTGAGGGCTCAAATTTTTAGTCTCTCTAGATATCAATTGTTGTAACCAATGTCCAGCATAAACTGTAACTTGAACTCTCCAGGATTCTTATCATATTTTTTGACAATTTATCCAGGCAAGGAGGGAGTTGAATGATCCAGAGAATGCGCTTATTGGTGCCTTTTCTGGTATAAATTCTCAGTCTAGTCTTTTGTAACTCTCACCTTGCTTCCTCAGTATTTGTAATCTGACTGCCTTCTCTTGGGTTCTCGTATTTCCTCTTTCTGACAAAATCACTTCCATATACTCTTTGCTTTAACTTTATGATAGGCGCCATCACTGGAGCTATAACTACTCCCCTAGATGTCATGAAGACAAGATTGATGGTTCAGGTGAATACTTGTATGAAGACTTTCCACACAAATCTCGTGCATTACTGACTATTTCCGTATTGGTTGTAAACTTGTAATTGCAGGGACAAGGGAACCAATACACTGGAATTGTAAGCTGTGCTCAGACAATCCTCAGAGAGGAGGGCCCTAAGGCATTCTTGAAGGTAAAGCACCACTTTGAACAGCTTCAGTACTCTTAAAATGGAAAACAAACACTAGATTACGTTATGTGAACTGGAAGCTTTTTATTGTCTTAAACTGTATAAGCTTTTAGATTCCCCGTTAGATAAGTTTTCAATTGTGACTTGCAGTTACAGTTTGCTTTAAACTTCTTGGCCCAACATATGATCACAATACAACGATCTTTCTAGTTTGCTGCATTCTATTGCATCGGCCTCTCCTGTGTTGTGCATTCCCCAGACATTGTCATCATTTGTCCAACTGCCTTTTTTTCAGTTGTCTCTCATGCCGAGGACTCATGTTCTGAAATTTGGTATTCATGTTCTCTGACGAGTGACGAGTGTTGGTGCAGCGGAGCACTAGGCTTGATATATTTTTGTTGACACATGGCAGGGCATTGAGCCGCGAGTGCTGTGGATTGGCATCGGTGGATCCATATTTTTTGGTGTGCTGGAGAAAACCAAGTCGATTCTAGCCGAGAGGAGGAAACGCAAGCTACGGGCCGTCAAGGACGAATGAGTGAAGATCAGTTAAATAATTTATGTACACGTTTCATCCTTATAGTTCTTTTTTTCACGTTGAATCCTTATCCTGTGAAATTAGATAAACAAAATACACAGTTTTACTTGTCAGGTGTGCTTCAGCCTACAAAGGATTTTAAGACAGGTTAATAAAGAATATAAGAGAAGCAATGTACCAACTGAACACATCAAGGCTGCTAGTTCGGGTGATAGTGATCGATGAACCTAAGAACATGTGGCTTACCTTGTTTTGCAGTGTTAGTCATATCGAGGCCACTCGGTTTTCTTGGCCCTTGGCTCGTTTAGTTTGGTGGAGAATGGAGGGGATCCAGGGCTTGTCCAAACCGAGGGAATTGGAAGAGGATTTTATCCCCTACAAGTCACCCCACCCCTAAATCCCCTCAAATTGAAGATTAACTGAACATGGCCTTAGAGGGATTAAATCCCTCCAGTCCGCTTCCAATACCGTTAAGTAGGGGATTTACTAAACAAGACCTAAATGGGTGCCAAACTTTTTTTTTTTCTCGAACAACGTAGGAGAACTGCGCGTCATTTCGTTTAAGGTAGAAAATGGGTGCCAAACTTGGCTAAACATGCTCCTAGAGCCACATTTCTGATCCCACCAAACAAACAAAGAGTCTTGAAATCACTCCATCTAAGCGCTCTTAACCCTCCCCTCAACTACCTCTAAACAAACACACTCTTTACTCTTACTCTAAAGTCTAAAGGGTCACTGAGCAATATCGCTACATCCTACAGCTAAAGCAGAGAGTAGAGAAAAATATAAGGCACACGACAAATAGAAGTACATTGATGAGATCTGGAGAACTAAAACCATCTATAACTTCTGTAGAATCATACATTTGACTCAATCAGATAAGAATGCCTGTGGTTATTAGCACTACAAAAATCGGGTGTATCTATTGGGAGGGAAAAGCATGAAACTCTCAGGGCTTATTATCCACGGGCCTCGAAGCTTTTTGCATCCATGTTTCGATCTGCTTCATTGTCTTCTCTCTCCTACGTTGCAGCGCTTTGAATTCCTCAGGACTGAAAGGAGGAGGCAGGTCACATGGGCCAGCATCGCTGGCGGATCTCACCATGGAGTCCTTCATGAACTTCTTCTCGCGGCCTATAGCTTGGCAAGCCAAAGATTCGGGACAGACCTCAATAGCTTCAGGTGGTTTTGTTGGCTTGAATCTTAGGAGCTTGGCATACTCAGTTAAGAGGTGAAACATGTAATCATATACATATTCCATGCTGAGCTCTTTTTGAATAAAGTTGCTTCCTTGCTTTCCTATTCTCTGTGCCTATATTTGCAGTGGGATACATGGATATGGTTACTATAAAAAATGCAAAAACCTTTACAAATGTACGTAACAAAGCATTCTCTATAGAAGAAAAGGTGTGCTCTTTACTCCAATATGTTATTACTTGTGAAAAATCAAGGAAAATTGGATTAGAAAAGTAGACAAGTATTCAAATTGACGACTTCTATTAGAAAAGTAGACAAGTATTCAAATTGACGACTACCCACAAGTTATTTTCTATACTTAAAGCACAGAACATTCAGCTATAACATATACTACAAGGAGAAAAAACAGTCTTATATACTGCTTGAGCAACGTCTATTAAAATACGAATCTGCCAAACACTAAAAAATTGATTTAGAAAAAGCTTCCTAGAATTATGCTGAGCATGACATGCGTCATGGTAGTTTGATTAATATAGGTGACACTAGAAATATCTCCTGAGTTGAGACAGCACAATGCAACTTATAACCAATGTATTTCATCATTCATGCAAATAAGTAAGATACCTTCTGTAGTGAAGCTTTGTTACACTAACAACTAACATGCACTGACCAATCTCTTTACCTTATGATAGGCGCCTAATCAAACAAAGCATACTTCTTTTAACTCATTTTTCGCACATAGTAGTACCTGGTGACGTTTGTTTTGGAAACAAAAGAAATTCTCAGCATCCTGACTCCCGTGTCGTCTTTCACCAACCGTTTGTCCTCTCTACTACTATACAATGTTGTACAGTCCTACACTTATAATAAATATATTACTCTTAAATTTTTTGTGTTAAAAAGTTGTTCTCTCTTCTTGTTATGTAACAAGTCTGAGACCTAGATCTAGCTAACCTATTTACATCTGTGACAAATATATGGGACCTAACTCAAAACAACGGTCCAAGTCCAACTAAGCACCAACTTGTCAAGGCTAGTGATGTACCTCCTGCTGCATCACATCGCATGATCAAACAAGGAAATAACCAAAGGACCTGTTTGATTCTCTTGTGCCAATAAGTTCAGCCAAGTAATGCAGTGAAGCTTTGTTACTGATATAATAAAGATGTAAACAAAAAAGATACCTTCAGTTTGTGAGAGTTGCCCCAATCAACAGCATACTTTATGGAGCTACACTTATTGTCATCCCAAATTGGCCAATAATGTTGCATGGGCATCAGCACCCTTGAATAAAAATCGTAGTATTTTGGTGTAACCACTAGTGTCATGGAATTACAAGCTAGAATATACTTCTCACTGACTGACCATGCTGATCCTTCAATATAAATCTTGTACCTGTCACCCAAAGGAAGAATCTCAGTATTATCTACAGAACAGCATAAATTTCAACTTGTCTGCAAGAAAAGAAAATAAACCTATGGGTGCATTGACCAGCCAAATTTGACTGTTTGTATCCTGCCTTTATCTCCTTTAGCCAATCCTAAATGACCAAAAAGGAAAAAATAAAAGCTAATCAATCATGGGTCACCATTACTAGAACTGTTTCATTGATTCTTTCAGAAAAAAAAGAACGGTTTCATTGAAAAATTAGTTATCCAGTAATTCTAAAAGATTTAAACATTTTATGGGCAACAGAATTGACAAAATAATGGAACTTCGCTCATGGAAAGACATTGGGCCATCACAATTTCTCCAAGTACAAGAAAGTGCGATGTAACATAAAGAGAAACAAAGTACCTGTTTGTAAATCCTTGCATTCCATTCATGCTCACTGGAGACATTACACTTGACAAGCTCCTGCCTTGTAACTGCAACATCTGGATTTCCTTTCCAGTAAGCATAAGGTTCTCTATCCAACCATTTCACCCTCTTGTTTCCACCATTCAATTCCTTCTGCAGAGCATCCCATGGTTTTATGTTGATCTCAGGCCTATCATCAGTCATCACATACAGTTCATTAAGTGTTTGTGCTTTGTCTGAACATCACAACACAAAAGAACAGATCAACCACAATATCACTTTAGTAGCTCCCAAAGTAAAAACACATTAGAAATGTCACTAATCTTTTGCATTTGGTTCTCGTTGTTCACTGTGTTATAGACAACGAATGCAGTGAATTCTGATATAACCGTGTCATTCAATGGACGAAAAAAAATAACCAATTTATGCCCAAAAAAAACAACAACGGTATGCCAAAAAAACAAAGGCTTGATCGATTGCTTACCAGCCCCAGAATGACCAGTCTGGGAAGACAACATCTAGCGTCTCATTGTCGCCGCAGTACCTGAAGAGCGGCGGCAATACCGTGGCGTTCTCCCCGTCGTACTGGTCGGCGTGCACGACGGGCCAGTCGACGCAGTCGAACATGAGGTCGAGGTCAGGGACGCGGCCGGGGTAGCGCCGGAGCAGCTGCAGAATGCCCCAGATGGTGAAGAGGTCGCGCGTCTGGAATGCCGGCGCGATGCGCTCGATGTACGCGCGGCCCCGGACCACGACGAGGCGGAAGTTGGCGGTGGCGCGTGCGCGGTCGACCATGGCGCGGGTGATGCCCCCCGAGGCGCGCCATGGGTGGAGGTCCTCGTGGATGAAGCGGAAGTAGGCGGGGCAGGTTGAGGAGGCGTTGGAGTTGGCGGGGAGCGGCGGCGGAGGGTCGGGAAAGGCGGCGCAGGTGGAGGCGGAGGAGGCGTTGGGGGAGAGCACGAGGTCGAGGGTCTGGGAGATGTTGCTGGGGATGGTCGGGTCACGGGGAAGCGGCGGCGCCGTGCAGGAGAGGGAGTAGGTCGGCCGAGGCGGCGGCGGTGCGGCTGGGATGGCCGGGATGGAGGTGGTCTGCGTCGCGGTTAAGATAGCCTGCAGGGAGAAGAAGACGATGATCAACGGTCCTGTCTCAGTGGCTTGTTCAGAAATTTTAATCGGCTTTTTTTATATAAAAAAATAATTCAAATTGATTTTTGTGTGTGTTTTTGGTGCGATGCTATCAGCTTCTTTGTGTTAAACACTAAACAGTAAGGAAACATAAATTGGAGGAAAAGGGGAACATGATGAGTTCATCAGTGGTGCATCCAATTTAACCCCAGATGGTTATGCTGATAGTAAGAATACGAAATCCCCATTTTTTTCGCATATTTTTTCGTAGGAGTTGTGGCGTTGCAACTTGCAAGCAAGAACAGCATATTTAAGAGTATGTTTCTCTGAGTGATAGCAGAAATTTTGTTTGGAAATAAAGGGTCGGAGCTTACCTACCGGCTTTGAGCTCCACTGATCCAGATTGGTGATTGACAGATGAGTCTGCACATGTTAAATTGATTGTTAATTACTTCCTAGGTTAATGCCCATGCATCGGTTCAGTAAAACTACTCTTTGCGTCAATCAGACTGAACTGAAAGATTGTTAATTACTTCCTCCTAGGCTAATGCCCATGCATCGGTTCAGTAAAACTACTCATTGCACCAATCAGAGTAACTGAACTGAAACAACAATAGGCAAATCATTGAACAGCGATAGATGAAACGCATCAAACAAACGTATTCTTTCATGGAGCCTTTGACAACTACTAGTACTGTCTACTGGGGAATAGTACGGAATTAGCGCTGGAAGTGGTGGAGAAAATTAAGTTTGGAATTTGATTTTTAGTCACAGTCTCTTATTTAGTTCATGAAAAAAAAATCAGAGGGCGAATTTAGATGGAATCCGAATCAGTTTTGGGTTTCTAAATGGAAAATTATATCACAAAGTTAACCTGA